TTGGGAACCTACGCTAGTCTCCTTGAAATATTTCAGATCATTGGAGAGAAAGAGAAGATCTAGAAAATTTATATAGACAGAACACAGGCAATATATGATGGACTGAGAACCAGAAGGGCATCTGGTTTCTCAGGTGGAACACTAGAAACAAGATAACTGTGAAGTAGAGCGTTCAAATTCCAAAACAAATGCCAGGCCCATGTGGTGGCACATTCCTGTAATCCCAGGGACTTGGAAGGCTGAGGCAGGAGGATCTCAAGTTCAAACCCCACCTCATCAACTTAGTGAGGTTCTGTCTCAAAATAAAAATACAAAAAAGGTCTAGGCATATAGCTAGTGGTAAAGCACTCTGGGTTTAATCCCCAGTACCTGTCCTCCTCCCCTACAAAATTCTAAACAATTTCCAACCTAGAATTTTCTACCCAGTCTACCAGTTAAGCATGAAGATAAAAACATTTTCAGATGCAGGGTTTCAAAAAATTTCCTCTGTGTCATGACTGGCTAGTAAGGGATGCTCTCCATCATAAAGAGGTAGTAAACTTGGAGAGGAAAATGGAGATGTTCCTGAGGAGCAAGACAAAGGGACAATGTTCAGTGGGAGTCAGAAAGACAGCTGGGCACAGGCCTACAAAAAATCATGCAGATGAAACTGGGGGATGGAAGGTTCTAGGAAGGAATTTTCCAAAAATTAAAGTGGAACCTGCATGTCCAGCTCCAATTCAAATGAATTCCTTATTATGTCAAAACATTTGAGGGTGAATTAGTGACATCCTGAAATCTAGGCAAATGGAACAAACAAAGCAACTATTTCAGGGAAAACAGAGTTATAAAAAAGAAAACCTGACCATGGGAAATGCAATTCCATGGTTTAGCTTGAAGTAGTGTTGACAGAGTTATAATGAGGAAAATATCAATGTGATAAGAAATTGCAGTTGAAACACATTGAGAGATTGCAGGTGAAGGAAGTATGTGCATTCATCTATATCAGGGGGAGGGGCCACCTAAATGCAGTAAGTCAGTAGGTAATGTCTCAGGTATCATGTCATATTTTCTTCACTTTTCTGTATTTCTTTTAAGTTGACAATTTTCTTTCTTCTTTCTTTCTTTCTTTCTTTCTTTCTTTCTTTCTTTCTTTCTTTCTTTCTTTCTTTCTTTCTTCTTTCTTTCTTTCTTTCTTTCTTCTTTCTTTCTTTCTTTCTTTCTTTCTTCTTTCTTTCTTTCTTTCTTTTTTGGTGTAGATGGACTCTACATAATGCCTTTATTTTTATGTGGTGCTAAGGATCGAACCCGGGTCCCGCGCGCACTAGGCGAGCACTCTACCACTGAGCCATAGTTCCAGCCCCAAGTTGACAATTTTCTAAAAGGAAATTTTTACTGAATAGCTGTGTATTAAAAAGGCCAGTGGTGCATACCCATCACTCAAAAATAACAACTGTTAACCTTTTTTTTTTTAGTTTTGTTTTTTTAGTTATAGTTGGACACAATGTTTTATTTATTTTTTTATGTGGTGCTGAGAATTGAACCCAGTGCCTCGTACATGCTAAGCGAGCACTCTGCCACTGAGCCACAACCCCAGCCCCCCAGCTCCCATTAACTTTTTGTGGGTTAAGCCTCTGTATATACATTAGCAGGTAGGGTCACACCATAGAAGGACTTATATGAAGTCAGATCATATCATGCTACCCACATGGCAGTCCAGGGCCCTTTGCATGAGAATCACGTGGGGAGCTTTTTGGAAGTATAAAATATTTCCAAATATTAAGGCTTCTGTCCCAGAGAGTTTGATTCTTTAGCCTAGGGATTTTGATGTACACACAGGTTTGAGGATACCATTTAGTAAATGGCTTTATTATTGTCCTGTAATAGTTTTCTCCCTTATTAATTTTTGTAGTGACAATGTAGTCTAACTCTGTGACTTTTAGTGGTCATTTTCTGTCTCCAGGAAAAGAGAGGGAACAAAGCCTCTGATAAAGCCACCCTTTTGGCTTTTGAGGCCCTGGTGACCTTCTGTGAAGAATTGGGGTAAGTGACTTATTTTAGTTATGCAGCAAAATGTTAGATCATTTCCTCCCCCAGCAGCCATTATCTGACCAGCTAACATAAAGCAGCCTTTTGTCCACCAAGGGACAAAGATCATTGGGTTTTGTTTTGAGGACCCTTCTTCAGGGCCCTTTCTCTTCTCTTCTGGAGGCCCCAGCCACTCTGGCAGTTTGAGGATTTGTTTAGCATTTTAGGTGGTCATCCACCTTTCCATTCTACTCCCTTCTAGGATGACTGACTTTATGTGGCCAGCCCCGAGCCATTGGTATTATGGTCATCACATGCCATTGAGCTGGGTCTTTTGCTTTACTCCAAGTATCCACTCTTATCTATGTCCCAAACAGAAGCATGTGACCCTCTTATCTTTTGGGCCAGGAGGCATCATGTGCTTTAAAGAAATCACCCTTTCTAATAGCCAGCCAGCCCACATGGACCCCACTTGTCTCCTTTGTCTTCATCTGTGGGGATTGGGCAGGGTGTCATGATTGTGGCTGGACACATGTAGTTGTTAGTGCCCCCTATGAGGGACACCCCAAAGGACTCTGTATACTTGGTCTAAAAAGCTCTCAGATTCGTCTGATCTCATGGAACAGTCCTGGGAGGACAGCAGATATGATTGCCCAGATAAAGATGAATAAACCAAGCTCTGGAGAGGTCACAATCATAAAGCTCAAGGTAGACAGAAGCCACTAAATTTGTGCCTCCTAATTGTCAATGGAGTGCTCATTTCATATACCTATGCCATCTTGGTTTTTGTAAGCATAGTGTCTTCTTTTTGTTAGCTTGCTTGCTTGTTTTTATAGTGCTGGGGATGAAATCCAGGACCTTGTGCATGCTAAGCGGGTGCTGTATTACTCAAGACTAGAGTCTTGAGATAAGGTTCTGTGTAGAGGTACATAGTATCAGTGTGAAACAGATGTTTTGGGCTGTCTTCTGGAAATCAGGGAGACATTTCCTTAGGCACTGTCTTTGCATTCCCATCTCTGTCCTACTCACATGAGTTGGTGGCTCCTTCTGGAAATGACCATCTCTCATTTGGTCTCTGTGGCAGGACCACACCCAGCAAAAGTGGTAGACTGCAGTGCCAGGTCCACCCTTGCCTTTGGCCCTCGCCACTAGAACCCTTTTCTGGCACTGGTTTGGGGATTGCTAAATTCAGCCTTCTTGGGCTCCTTGAGTGGACCTCTCATTTCTGGTGAGGAATAAAAGGACCACCGAGTGTTCTTGCTAATTGTCAGAGCCCCCTCTGCTGGAAGCACCTTGGCTGGTTCTTGTTTGAGGCTCTGGGGGTTAGAACCTGCCAGGCAGGGAGACGATCCTCTTTGAGGCCTCTACTTCTATTTCATCTCATCTCAAGGAGCTGGGGTTTCTGAGTGTGTCAATGGGCCAGCTGGGGGCAGGGGCCCAGGCATCCATGGGCCCAGGGAGTCCAGCTGAAGGCCTCCTGGGCTTTGTGCACAGCCTTGTACTTGTGTCTTGTTTTCTGTGTGTGAGGGTTCTGGATCCCAGGGCTTTCGGGCTGGAATAAAACCCCTGGCATGTCTGTAGGACCACTGCTCTTTGAATAAAAGGGAATATTTATTATAAAATGGGGCAGAACATGAAGAAAAAGCTCCTTTCCACCCTATATTTGCTCCTTTTCTAAGAATAGTTCTGGTTTGGGGTCGAGGTGAGGCAGCTTTTCCTGCCAGCACTCCCTCAGGGCGGGCACCTGGCAGTGAGAGGATAGACCAGTGCAGTGGGTTTGCTAAGGTCAGAACATTTCTAAAAGAAAGCTGTTGTAGATGTTTGGGCATGTCAAGGTGGCACCCTGTGAGTAGCACTGGGTGGGAGGGTCTGGGACCAACAGAAAAGGGACTCAGGTCAGTTGGGAATGAGGCCAGGTTGTGGCACCCAGCAGTGTTCCTCTCATCTCTGCATGTAGCTGTTTTCTCTGGGCTGTAGCCATGGAAAAGCATTATTCATGACAGGGTTTTTTGTGTTTTAGTGTTCTGGGAACAGTTATAAGGCATGAAGCAACCTCTGGCCTCGCGGCCTCAGTACCTTGAGATAGAAGAACAGCTCTGTTTAGGCCTGAGCTGAACTGTCTCTTGTGGTCTCCGAGCTGGGGAGCACAGAAGCCCAGTATCTTCCTGTTTATCCACTCATGTGCTCATTCACTCATGTGTTCAACCAACCAATATTGATTGATATCAGCTGTGCCAGGCATACTGGCCATGGGAATAAAATGGTGACAGAAAGAGACCCATCTCCTGCTTCTGTGGTACTCAGTTTCCATGGGAAAGACAGGCATTTGTCAGGTAACTGATGATTCTTGCCAGATAATGGTAGTGTACACCTGCAATCCCAACTACTTGGGTGGCTGAGGCAGGAGAATCACAAGTTTGAAGCCAGCCTGGGAAACTTACTAAGATCCTGTCTCAAAATAAAATAGAAAAGGCTTAGGTTACTCAGTGATAGAGGACTTGCCTAGTATGTCCAAGGTCCTGGGTCTAGTATCCAGTACCACAGAACAGAACAAAACAATAAAAATGTACGATTTCTGTTTAAAGGGCTCTGAAAAAAAAAGATAAATGGTGTTTTGATAGTATATAGCAGGTGCCCTACCCTAGTCCAGAGAGTCAGGAGAAATTTACCTGAGGAGTCAGGTTTACACTGAGATCTAAAGGCTGAGGAAGCACTAGCTGAGCAAGTGTAGTGTTGGTGGTGCACACCAGTCAAGGGGGATGGCATGTGCAAGGGTCTGTGGCAGGACAGAACAGGGCTTTTTCAGGAACTGAAACGTGCTCCAAGAACCTGGGGGCATGTGCCAGATGGCTGGTCGGACAGGCAGGGCCATACCACAGGGAGAGTTGCAGGTCCCAGTAAGGCTTTGCTGGCTTCTTCTGGTGACCACATCTAGATAGAAAATGAACTCTTACAAGTTAACAGATTTGAAAAGGAATTTTTTACTTCATTTGTTTTTTTTTTTTTTTTTGGTGTGTGTGTATATGTGTGTCCTCTTCAAGTTGCTGGCTGGGCTGGGAATTTATTGGGGGACCTTCTTATCCATTGCTTCTCTCACCTGAGGACAGAGGAGAAGACCTCTGCATGACCAGTATCAGACCAACCTCCCCATCTTGCTATCTGACCAACCCTAAGGCAGACCCAGTGTTTGACTAGATTTTTTTTTTCCTGGTGAGAAAAGATGACTGGGCCCTGAGTCTGAGGGGACCACAGAGGAGTATGGGAGAAGCAGAGGAGCCCACCTCTCATCTTCTTGGCCCCCAGGATGTCACATCAATCCTCTTCATATTCTGTCTTCTCCAGTGGAGGGATTAAACCAAATACAACAGCAAACATGAAGAAAAACAGAACTGTGGAGATAAATAAGCCAATCACTATCAGGCCCCCCAGCTCCCAGGGGTTCTCCCAAAACTCATCATGCCAGACAGTCTTCTGGATTGCCGCTTGGTCCATATAAACCTGGAAAAGAAAAGACGGAGGCTGTGAGTTTGGACCCTCAAGGTCCTGTCTCAGGTGCTACTCTCCACTCCCAACCTTCACACTAAGTAGCAGCTGCAGGGAATAGCTGGCCATGTGTGGTCACTGAAGAAATGGTGAGTCTCTGAGCTCCAAGTCTCCCGCAAGCAACAAATGGAGTTTCCCCCTTTGTAGAGAGGGCCCTGCATTCTTCCCAGAGGCTGCCCCGGAGCCTCCCGTTCTCTCCTGAATAGCTCTGATATGAGCCAGAACATTCGTTCTATCCGAGGGAGGCCTACTCAACTCAGCTAAAAAGCACTGCTATGCGTCCTCCCTAACTTTTCCTGCCCCAATTGCTAAACATTTGGGAGGCATTTTGAGAACAACCGCATAGGAGCCCACTGATGTGCTGTGGTGTGCTCCTATAGTCACAATTCTCAGGAGGCTGAGGCAGGGGAGGATCACTTGAGCCTATGAGTTGGAGGCCAGCCTAGCCAACAGAGTAATACCCTGTCTCAAAAAAAAAAAAAAAAAAAGGACAAGAGCCAAGAAGTGGCTCAGGCTTCAGTAAAATCCCTGGGGGCCCCTGAAAATAGGAAATCTAAATATCTTTTCGAAATGGAACCAGTGTTTGGAGAGCTGTGAGCCCTTAGCTGAAGGGAGTAGAGAGGAGAAAGGAAAGGGTCATTACCTGCTGTTGCTACTGTCTTGTGACCTACGAGGGCAAATCAAGGTTGTCCTTCAAGCCCCACGCTTTGGGGGGCCCTGAGTGAAGAGACTGCCAGGTGACCAGAGCTTCACCCTGATTCAAGGAAGCAACTTTTTTGGGGGGAAGGCGTTAGTATTGACTAGCAGCCCTGACCAGACCTGCATTGCTGCCACCAGAACAAACAGCGGTGGGCTGGGGCTAGTTGCCTGGCAATGACCACTCCCTTTCTGCCTTTCACACTCCTCTCAGCTGCATCTTGCCTTTTGTGATGTCACTGTTGGGATACTGTGGGCAGCTGTTCAGAAGTGCTCCCTGAGAGCAGTCAGACTTGGAGTGGGGTGGGGGAGGAGACTGAACCCGGGGCCTGTACCCCAGGCCATCCACCCATCTTACCTGTATAGAGCAGGGTCTTGGCTTGGTTTAGATGACCTGTCCACAGAGAGAACCTGCCCAGAGCTGGGAGCCCTGGGGCTGGGACTGCTACCGGGTCCTTATTTCCAGGAATGTGGTGAATGATTAACTGCAGCTTCTGAAGGGAGTCTGGGGCGGGGAGCACTGTGGAGGCCTCACTTCTTGATGGTACCTGTTGCCTCTCAGGCCAGGCCTTGGCTGCTGAGTGGCTGATTGCTACCCATTGGTGTGATCGGGAAGCTAGGAAAAGGGAACAAAGCCCAAAACCTCATGGCCACCCTTAACTGCTTTAAAAGCTAGGATGGGTGGGCCTTTTGTGACCAGGAACTGTGCCAGCCACTGAGACAAGAAGAGTGGGGCTGGCCCTTTGAGAGCTTATCTTCCAGCCCATAGGTCCTCAACCCTGCTGTGACAGTCTCTAGGATCTCTAGAAACGCCCAGGCCCCGCACATCAGTCTTTGGGATGGCAGGGTGCTGTGTTGTTTTAAACCTTCCTAGGGGACTCTCCCAGGTGTAGCCAAGTGGCTGACAGATGAGCAAGTGCAACAAAGCCTTCTTAACTGGGGCTGGGGATGTGGCTCAAGTGGTAGCGCGCTCGCCTGGCATGCGTGCGGCCTGGGTTCAATCCTCAGCACCACATACAAAGATGTTGTGTCCACCAGAAACTAAAAAATAAATATTAAAAAATTCTAAAAAAAAAAAAAAAAAAGCCTTCTTAACTGTCGTGAGCTACGTGGACCTGGCCTGCCTGAAGCTTTCCACTTCCTTGTGGAGAACTTGCTGACTCATGTCCCTGGCATGTGGAGCGCACAGCCAGCAGGCTGGTCTCTGGCACACCCTGGTACTTCAGCTCCACCAGTCAAGCCAGGGTCTTATCAAGAGTCAGTTGTTTGTCCCCAGACTGGTTTGTGGCAGTTGAACTTGTTATAGTTACATAATCGAATGTAACATAAGCAAATGAAGCAACAATGATAACTAATATACCAATTTTTAAAAATTTTATTCATTATTGGGTGGGGGGTACTGGGGATTGAACTCAGGGGCATTTTACCTTTGAGCTTCCCCAGCCCTTTTCTATTTTTATTTTGAGACAGGGTCTTGCTAAGTTGCCCAGGATGGCATCAAACTTGCCATTCTCCTGCCTCAACCTCCTTAATTACTGGGATTTCACACCTGCCTAAAAGTCTAGTTTTGTAGATGGGACACAGGCACAGAGAAGTTCAGTAACTTACTCAAGGTCATACAACTAGTAAGTATGGTTTAGATGACCTGTCCACAGAAAGAACCTGCCCAGAGCTGGGAGCCCTGGGGCTGGGACTGCCAGCTAGTTATAGTTGAGAACTAGCTGTACAGAATCTGAGCTCTGAAATGCTACATTGTGCCTCAGAGTAAGTAGAGAAAGAAGTTGTTTCTACAGGTACCTGTGTGACCCCTTGGAATCACTGGGATTATATTCCTGTCAAAAAAGATGCAGACATGATAACTAAATAGGAACATTATAAAAATTCAGTGGACTTTCACACTCAGATTCCTTTGCAAAGCCTAAGTTCTTGTTCTACTCCAAACTGTGTGTGTGTGTGTGTGTGTTTGTGTGTGTGTGGGGAGATGTTGCTAGGGCTGGAACCCAGGGCCTTGTGCATACTGAGCAAGTGCTTTACCACTGAGTTGCATCCCCAGCCCATCTTGGCCTGCTGTAATTAAATCAAAACTACAAAATAGATACCACAAGAACTCTAGTCAGCCAGCCTACATTTAGAGAAAAGACCCTCGCCCTACCCCAGAAGGATTAGCCAGGAAATGTGTGGGCTTTCTCAATTTAAAATGAGATGTGTAGGTGCTGGGGCTGTGACTCAGTGGTAGTGCACTTGCCTGGCATGTGTGAGGCACTGGGTTCGATTCTTAGCACCACATATAAATAAAACAAAGGTCTATCAACAACTAAAAAATAAAACCAAAAAAATTTAAAAAGGTGAGACGTGTAGACAATGTGTCATACACATGAAAGGTGCGTGGACTGTTTCAGCTAACTGCTATCCACAGGTGCATAATTCTTCTGGCATGTTGGTGTGAAGAGCATGAACTGATGGGGAGGAGAGAAGGTACTGAAGCTCAGTTGCTCTGCCTGCTCTCCTGTGAGGAAGCAGTGCATAAATTAAGACACAAAGACTGGAGACAGAGATAGGGTCAGTGTTGTGTGGCACGGAGCAGGAGAGCGAGGGAATGTTTTAAGGATGAAATTCATTTGTCCTTAGTTGTGCTCTGAAATTTGTATTACAGTTTGTGTTCCTCATTTGTGCCATAACAAAGATTTTTATTGTAGATTGCTTTAAAGTGTTACTAATTGAGCAGATAATAATTTTTGTGCTCTCCCAAATTTTGCTAATCAGAGTCTTGCCCAATAGGTTTTGTAGTTGTAATGAGGTATAATACGCCCACAGCACGGTGCAAGATCTTTGGTGTGGAGCGCAGCCCTTCTGAGGAACTGAGAGCAGACGCTGGTGGAGCAGAGGCCACAGTGGGGTGGCATGAGGAGGCTGGTGAGATCACTGTGGAAACTGCACAGGCCTCTGTGCAGTGGCCCTGGCAAGCACTGCTGGTGGCTTGGTCCAGTGTGGCATGGAACAGTGACAGGTGGTGACTAGAGTCAGTCAGATGTTCTCTAGGCCTGAGGCAACCTGATGGCCGTCCCTTATATATAGCCATCTTCAGGCAGCCCGCCTCTGAAGTGTCTTTGTGTTTATTTTTCCCACAGTGGGGGTGTAGCTGCCTCCTCTCCAAGCCCCCTTCCCCAGGAACTCCCTGTGCTAGGAGCTGTGTGTCCCGGAGTTGGGCTGGAGCAGCTTTGTTTACCTGAGTGGGCGGGAGCCTGCGTGGCACTTGGCCCAGCAGAGCTTGGGGGGCTCAGTGTTCACCAGGGAGCAGGAGGAGCACGTCTTCTGCAGGCAGGGACAACCTCATATTTGGACCCAGCAGTTTTGTACTGCCTGCCATGGGATAGGAGGGTGCACATAGACTCGCCAGACACCTGTGTGTGCCCTGGTTGTTCACGGCACCTGACTCCCAGCAGCTGGGCTGGGAACTGGAGGCTTTCCTAGCATAATCTCAGCCTCAGCCACTCTTTAGGAGGGCCATTCTTGATGCCAATGAAACCTTGCTTTCTGGAGGAATCGGGCAAACACTGGTCTGCTTCCCAACCAAGTGCTCCCAGGACCCTCCAACCAGCAGTGCTAGGAGTGAAAAATGCAGGGTTCCCCCTCCCTCCCACCATCCTGAGGTTGTTCTTCTGACACCTGGTTGAGCTCCATCCCAGCTCTTCCCCGTTGGGTTCCTCCAACTCATGTGAAGGTCATTTTGAGACAGAGTTTGGGTGTGGGTGTTTGGGCAGTAGGGTTCTTATTATCCTAACTGGAGGATAATAAGAATCTTATCTGTCCTACATCCGGGAGGCCTCAGAGCCCTGGGTGTGGTGAGCAGGAGCTCTGGAGCCAGACAGACTGGACCCAGAGGCTGGCTCAGCCACTTTTCAGCTGGTTGAGCTTGGACATCTAGTGTCACTGAGGCTCAACCTACTCACCTATAAATGGGGATAATAATGGTATCTAAGGCATTAAAGTATTGTGATGATTAAATGAATTGATCTGCATTGAAATGCTTAGACAGCTCCTGGGCGTGGACTAGCCCTCAGTGGATTCCAGCTCTTCATTGTCACTGACCTCAGTGTTGCCGTTGTTCTTTAGAATCCCTTACTTTGTCACTACTAGGGACAGGTGGATTCTTGGGTTTCTTTTCTTTTGGATGGAAACCCTTCCTCCCCAGGCCTTTGACTCAAACCTGCCAGGTGAGTCCTGGAGACCAGGAAGTGGAGCCAGCTAGTGAGAGCTGCTTCTGCCCTGCCTGCCCCCACCTGTGTGGCCTAGATTGCCAGCTAGAGTTAACAGGGTTGGCATCCCCTCTCCATGACAGGGCTCTGCTCTCAGGCACCTGGGGAGTGTGCTGCACAGACCAGATGATGGAAGGGTCCAGGAAATTGCAGACCCCTTTATGGCTTCAGAGGGCTGGTGTGGAGGTGCTGTCAGATGCTCTGGTCCAGCCCCGTTGGCATGTGGGGAGACACATCCATGTGCCTTCTCTCCCCCATTTCTGGGTTTGTAGCTCTACCTCTCAAAGAGAAAGTTAACTGGAGGGAGGCAGGAAGGGGCATTGCCTTTTAGCAGATCCATTCTTTAAAATGGGTCCATGTTGCTGTGGGTTGGTCCCTTGTCTAGAGGGGAGAATAAGTCAGTTCGTATCAATGGAGCTCTTAGAACTATGCTCAGCTGTGCTAAGTGCTAGATGGAGGTCATCTTTGTTTATTCTCATGGTGCACCACAGGAAGCAGGTGCCAGGATGAGCCCATTTCTTCACCAGGGAGGAGACAGGCTCAGAGGTTGAGTCACATAGCCAGTGAGTGGCAGGTGAGGTGTGAGCCCACAAATGGGGAAGTAATTATAGAGAAAACTAGGGACCTGATCTCTTTTCTTGGAGTTCAGAAGTTTAGGGATCCAGGGGTTTAAGCCTGATAGTGTGGTGTGTCCAGGCAGAAGTTATAGACAGTGGAAAATGTTAGGTGGCCTTCCCGGGCCTAGCACAGTTTGGGTATCCATCAGCCACTGCTTGTTAACTGTTGGGTGACAGGAATGTTGCTGTGTCCCTCCACTGGTTTCTTGGCTGTGGAGGGGGACTCCTCCCTGTGTGATTTTCCAGTTTTCATGGGCTTAGGGAGAGCAGTGGCCTGGAAAGAATAGTGGCTGGCCACACCCCTAGAATTCCAGCTCTGCCCTCCTGATGCACAGAGTGCAGCCAACCTCAGAAATATATAACCAAAAAGCTTTTACTTGGAAATAAACAGGCAAATACCAGGCTAGAATACTGACATGTTCCCCCTTGGTTGGGATCCAGTAGCTATTGCACAAAGTCCCTCTGATTGGCTTGTTCCTCTTTGGCATGGATCAGTGGAGCCCCAAGGGCCAGCTCCCCACAGATGTGGGCTGGTCCCCATCAAAGTATGGGGACTCCTGTGTCCTTGTTAAAAAGTGAAGGTCAGCAGAAGACCCAGGTTGGCGTCCTCAGTCTTTGAGCAGTGGACTCCTCCCCAACACCCAGTGTCCACTAGCAGGTGGAGTTTTGTGCGTGTCCCAGCCCTTGTTTCCTTGGTGAGGCTCCAGGTGTCAGCGTCCTAGCATCGGGACAGGGCCAGAACTGGGGCTGGGGGGTCCTTGTCTGGAGGCGTGAGGGCCACAGGGCCAGGCTGACAGCTTCTCCAGCTTCTCCTTCCATGTCTTGCTGTCCCTCAGTGGGGGCTCATGGGCCGCACCTGGACCTTCCTGCCTCTGCGCTCAGGGCAGCAGCAGTGAGTGCAGCAGCAGCTGCAGGCTATCAGCAGCAGCAGCAGAACAGTGGCTGCAGGATGGGAGAGTGGGCCTGAGAAGGTGGGGAAGGCAAGGGTGCCCACCTTCTTTCCAGAGGAGCCCTCGGACCCATGCTAGGGCTTCCCCAGGTCTCGTTTAGTAGTCTGAAAGACCTGAGGGTCTGACGGGGGATGTTGACTGTCCCCTTGCTGGCCCCGAGCCTTGACCTCCTTCCTGGTGTCTCTTCCACCACCCAAACTTGGCTCCCTTCATCTCTGGGTTGAAACCTGACAGTGCCCCTGGGCCCCGTTCCCAGTACTACCCAGCATTGCCCATCACTTGGGCAATGTCAGAGGATATGGAGAAATCCCTTGGTTTCCCACAAGGGGCAACTGCTTTTCCTCCTTATCTGGGGACAGTCTCCACCCCCACCAGCTCTCTAGCTAGCACCATGCTCTGGTCTCTCCCAGATGCCAGGAGGAGCCATGGGGTGCTAAGGAGACTGTGAGTGCCCACACTTGCCTGTAAAGAGGACGAGGATGGAGAAGGCCACAAGCTCCACGGGCTCGGCCTGGGGCAGCCCTCGCAGCTTCTTCAACAGTCTCTCACCCACAGAGTGCATCTCCTGCACAAAGCCAGGGGCTGCCATGCTGCACCAGCTCCTGCTGGGGTTCCTGCGGGCTGCGCTGAGGCAGAAAGAGTGTGCCTGGAGTCTCCGTGGGGCTGGCCGCACACTGAGGCAGCACCAGCAAACCACCCTCTCCCCTGCTGCAGCCCGCAGAACAAGTTTGTCAGGTCTTACCCCTGTGCTCCTGGTGGCTTCTGAGGGAAGCCGGGAGTTAGTGGGGCCCACTCAGTGGCCAACTTCAGCCCTAACCTGGCTGGCCCAGCTCTGGATCAGGGACACTGGGGATGAGTGACATAAAGAGCCTGCTTTGGGGGGCTGCCAGCCAAGGCCTGAGTTGGTGAAGGTTTCTGTCCGCAAGGTGGAGCAACTTTGCTGTACATTCCTTTGCCTTGAGACACTACAACTAGGCTTGGCCAGGATGCTTTGGCTGGCACAGCTCCCCTATCAGTCCCTGGGTCTTTGGGACTTGGGTACCTTCTCCAATGCCCTTGGCTGGGGAGATGGATCTTGGGAGTCCAGCCTATGTTTGCCTTTCATCACATGCCCGGCAGGAGGACGTGTTTATGGGGGTTCTGGCTGGGATCAGTGGTAGTGAACACTGCGGAGAGGAGGTTTGGGGGATATAAAACTTGAGTCCCCTTGGAACCCCCCACTCCCAGCAGCCAGAGTTTTTTGCTGGTACATTGTTCTAATGTGAAGGGAAGAGATTGCACTGTCTGCTCCCGTTTTTGCTAGGGGAAGGGTCCTCTCTGAATGGGATCAGGACTTCCCTCCCCTGTTGGTTTGGATCTGTTCTGGCCTGACCAGAGAGGCCTGTCCATCACCCCCACCTCAGAGAGCTTCTTCCTGTCCAGGGTGCCCAAGAGGCCCAAAGGAGTTTCCAGGTTCAATCTGTTAGTTGAGGCCTGTTGTGCATCAGGGATTCTTTCCCCTTCTACCTCTCCTGTGGGCACAAGGGAGCCAGAGCCTTTTTAGAGAAGGACCAGGGACAACCTTTGCCAGCCAGCCTGAACCGGTTCACCAAGACAGTTGCTTTAATCCTGGGCCTGATGTGGTAGATCAGGTGGCCAGGGGATTGTGATGTACTGATTGGCTCTACTGATTGCCACCCTGCTCCTGGTCTCAACCCAACAGGCAGCACCTGTGCTGTGTTTCTCCCAGCTACAGGGCTGCTCACTGGAGGCAGGGTTAGAACTGTGGGCCATCTGACCTGGTGCTCCATCTGCATTTGGCCTGCTGCCCTCCTGTTGAGCACCTGATGGCAAGGACTCTCCTGCTGGAGCAGCCCACCTGCTCACAGAAGGTCAGACCCCTGCCCTCCTCCAGGGAGTCCCTCTTCCCCTGCACAGTCCATCAGGAACTTGATGGCAGCTGGTGTGAATTTCCCTTCCCCGCAGTAACTGATCTAGTTTTTCCAGCTGACCCTCTTAGAACAGTGTTTCAATCATCCCACCTCCCCTCTTCCTCTGTTTCGTGGGTAGGTCACTTCATCTCTGCATTGACACAGAGATAAGATGCCCACCTTTCCAGCTACTTGGGCCCTGGCCATCCAGCCATACATGGTGGATATGAACACCCTCTGGGTGGGGCCTGGCCATTGCCAGGGGAGTTGAGGCAGCTGCAGGTCTCCTGGCTTAGGAGCTGTCCCCCAAGCACTGCCGACTAGCCCTCCCCAGATATGCCTTTCAGGACTGTCTGTCCTTTACTCTGGGATGTTTCTGGTGTGTCTGGAAGCTGGACAAGGGGACTTGTTGTTTAGTGACAGTGGGGGTAGCAGGCATATGATGGCTCCCTGGAAAAGTGACTTCCTGTCAGAAGTGTGAGGTTCTCTGGCTTACATCCCCTGACTTCTCTCACGCCTTACCTCAGGGCTAGCACATTTCTGCAAAGGAGATCAGACCCCAGTTTGCACAGTAAGAAGCTGCACAGAATCCTGGGATACTGCTAGTCACCCACTCCTACCTCTTTGCTTTTATATATGGGTAACCTGAGAGCTATGTGACTTCTCTGCGGTCACTACTGGACAGGCTCCTCCTGCCCTATGCCCTGTCAGTGAGGGCCCATCTCAGGCTTTGAGCAGAAAGCTAGGCCAGTGCAGCAGCCGTCTAGTGAGGACACTACCCACGACTGGCAGCCCCTGGGCTCTGCACGGTCAGCCCTGATCTTGTGGGCCTGAAGCTCTAACTTCACCACCATGTCACCTTCAGACTGAGGCATACCAGGCTTCTTGAGAGCACACATACTACTTGTCTCCAAAAGAACAGATCTTAAGTCCCTGCTGACTTGAGCATAGTACCATTCCCTCTGGTCAGACCAAATGAGGCCCTTCTCTGACCAAGTGGGACAGGCTTGCACAGGATGGTGGTCCCCTCCCCTCTGGGACCTTCGTGCCATTACCACTCCTCAGGTTTCCAGGCATCTCATCCTTAAAGGAATAATTTGCTCATGGCTCAGAAATGGTCCTGCTTCCCTCCCGTCCGGCTTCATCTGTACTTGGTTTGGCTTTTCAACCTGATTGGCACTTTGCCCACATGGACTAATGTAGCCCAGTGGAGCCACTCCTTAAAAGAGGAAGTGGGCAGGAGATGGGTGGGTAGGGAGAGCTTTCTCTCTTCTATGCCACACCCAAAGACCCAGGGAGAGGTTGTGGGGGAGGAGAGAGATGGCTGTTAGTGAGAAGTGGTGTGGGGACTCCGGGTCCATCTGAGAGTCAGAACTCAGGACAGGGAAGGGACAGTGAGGCCGAAGCTTCCCTGCAGGGAAGGCAGGGTTTGTTGATCAGACCTTGGGCTACAAGGTGGTGTCCTCCAGGGCTTGTGAAGTTGGAAAGCTGCAGACTCATGCCTAGAGGACCTGGTCTCCACTCTGGAAGAAGTTGGTCCACAGCAGCAGTGGGCCACGCATGTGGATGGCTTGCCAACTGGGAGCTGAATTAGCCAGCTGGACTTGGCCATCCTCACTCAGCAAACTGACCCAGGGTTGCCCACAGGATTCCATCTGCACTGTGCACAGAAGTGGGGCTGTTGGGCATGGTTGTTCTCCCCTAAGAACCTGGGGTCCTCTTTGTGTGGCTGTTGGTATTTGTCCATTCAAGCTTAGCCCTATGACTGAGCAGAACAGGCCCACCATGAAAGAGGCAGGAGAGTGGGGGGCAAGCTGAAGGGTCTTGTTCTTAAAAAAGGAAAGAGGCACATTCCAGCGGGTCCCTGGCGTCTTCCCAGCGGGCTATTTAAAGCAAGACCAACAGAGTGCCTGAAGCCTGGTGCCCAATATAACCAGCAGCCGTCAGGTGACCCTGTGGCATGTGTCCCAGCCATTATATTGGAGGGAGCTGCATGTGTTCCCAGCTGTGGCCAGGGGAATGTGGGAGCCCTGGGACTAGCCCCTCTTGCCACTTTACCTTCCCAGGTTTGGGGGAAGAAGGCAGGGAGGCCAAGTGGAGTTGAGAATTATGTATTTTCTTAGTCTTTCTATCAGACTCACCAAACTTTTTTAACTGAACTTCCTGCCTGAGAACCAGAGGAACTAGAGCCTCTCCCACCCCCAAGCTTGTTAGTGCCTCAGTCCTGACAGCCTGCAGGACAGAGAGGGAGGCTGGCAATGCTAGAGGGACTTGGCAACAGCCTTTGTGTGGCATCTCCTGGCAGAGAGAGCCTTGCCATGGAGCAGACTGGCATCCTGCAGGCCAGACAGCTGCCACTTGGTACCAGGGCTTGTCTGTTTCCTCCTCAGAAAACTGATAGTCCAACTCCAGGCTGCCCCGTGGAGGAGAGGCAGTGTGTGCATACCTGATAAGCACAGTGTGCTCCATGGCTCAGGGCCCCGAGGACCTTCTTGCTCAGCCCCCGTTGTTTTGTCATGGTGGGTTTCAGCCACCCTTACCCTGTGGGGCATTATCTTGTTTGAGAAATGGTTCCAGTGAGAAATAACCAACAGTTGTGGGAGATTTGTAGGGTCCAGAGGCCAGCAGAGTGGAGACACCTGGTGTGCACCGTGCTGGACATTCAGCCCTGATTCTGACTTGAAATAGAACATAGGCACTAGAACCTTTGGCAGTTTCATTGCCCCAACCCCATAGCTTCCCAGGACAGGAGGTGGACTTCCTGCCATCCACTTTCTGTCCCTGCTTGGACTGCTAGAAGGACCTCATCCACCTGTGTCCAGTGGATGTAGGGCACCTGTCTGTTGGGGTGTCTTAGAGATAAGACACCTCACCATTATGCCCTTCCCTTCCCTGACCTGATGCCTCAGGTACACCCTGGCCTCCATCCAGTCCCCTCCCTTTGCCACATGCTTCCTGTCTCCAAGCTAGGCAAAGCCCGTGGCCTCTCCTAAGCCCAGGACACTTGGCCTGATCTTCGCTTTCCACTTTTCCCTGGATTGTTTTTCTTTCTTGCTAGATGCCAACTTGTTTGCTTTGGGAAGAACCATCTAGGGGTGTGGGAGACTTTAACTCTGGTGTGAGGACAGGGAGGCAGGAGGGGTAAGTAGCCTCTACTTGTGGAGCCCTTCCCAGGAGGGAAGTGCTCAGTGCTGCCTGAAGAACCAGATATCTGTCTCAGGGTCACAGCATCTCTGTGGTGCCACAGAGATCTGAATACCTATGGTCCCTCCCCAGCCTCACATCTTTCATAACCATCTCCCAGCCCAATGCTGAGTTTAGAATCGGGTGTACATGGCTTTCAGTGTTCAGAACTCATTGCCAGAGGGAGATCTGGGGGCTCCTGGGGATCTAAGTGGGCCCAGGGACACTTCCTTGGGCCAAGCCCTAAGTGGGAACATCTGATATTGAGTGAGCCAAACCTCCAAAAGAGATGGCAGCTGCTGTTCTTGTCCAGGACACAGGTGGGCAGAGCTGCTTGAGGTCCTGCTGCATCCCCGGGGGGGCTGTGAAGTGGCTGGACATACCCTGCCCTGTGCCTCCTCCATTAGGGGAACCCAGGAGGGGAGGACTTGGGCCTAATCCTGGGGAAAATGGGGGCTCAGTGGGCATGCGTGGCGGGGCAGCCAAATCCCTCTCCAAAGCCCACTGAATAGAAAAAGCTTAAACTGACTTGCAGAGTCAGCAGCCTGGGCCCTCTGCTGCACAGCAGGCAGCAGGGCAGCACTTGGGGCAGAGTCCCCCACGCTCCCCTCACAAAGGTCCCAGGGGAAGGGAGAGCTCAGGTGCACAGGAGACGTCGGATTTCCCTGTGAGGAGGTGACTAGACGCGTTCCAAGACTTTCCTCTCCCTGTTTGTGGTAGATGTGGCCCCCCACCCCAGTGCAGGAGACCCTGGCTGTTCCCTTGTCTTCCTTTCCCCCCTTCTCTGTGGCCAGCACGACTTACCTGGAACGTAGCTGTTCCGGAGGCAAGAAAGGGAGCCCGGATCAAGGTGTCTGTGTGCCTCCCCTCGGGCCCCTGGCCACCACCTCGTATATCTTTCGTGCACACTGGCCGGCCGCAGCTCCCCTGGGCACTCCTCAGCACGAGCTCCTGGAGCCTGGAGCTCCTCCTTGAGGCTGACAGCCAGCTGCTGTCCCACAGCCTCGGCTTTTTTGTTGTTGGTTGTCCTGGAGATGTAAGTGTCAAATTACCGTCGAGAGGGGGAGCCAGAGGGAACCCTCTCTGGAGCTTGTCCTGCAACTTCTACCCAGTGGCTTTCCTTGCTGGGGAAGTGGGCTTTGGGATCCTCCTCCTCCTCCCCTTCTCTCCCCTCCCTCTAGCCAGTGGGCTGGGCCTGGTTGGCTGGTGACAGGTGCTGGGCTCTGGTTCTGAGTAGATGACCCAGGGGCTCATCCTCTGCCCTCAGGGAAAGAGGGTGGAGCAGTTTTCCCTGCCCTTGGGCTCCCCACTGCCGCCCTCAGGAGTGTTTTTCAGGCCTGTGTCCCCAACTCCCACAATTTGTACCTTGAGCCACTGTTCCTCCCTTTGGCCTCTCCGAGGAAAGAAAGTAAATAGTGAGGGACTGCTGGGCTACCCCAGCAAACAGGCAGGCGTTGCCAGCAGGCCACCCAACACCCAGAGGTGTCTTGGGAAGTCTTAGGGAATCCTGGTGTCCTGGGAGTGGTCTGCTTGCCCTGTGAGGGACATCGAACTCTTCTTAAGAGGAACGACACTGCCGATTTCTTTCTGCTTAGCTTTCCCCCGCGGACTCCTGGCCCAGCTGTCAGGGATTGGCTCCACAGCCCAGTGGCTGGGGCCCTCTGACATTTGGCTGGTCGTGCCACCCAGCAGACCAGTCTCCTGGGAGAGAAACTGACCCTAGCCCTGCAGTCAATGGAGCTCTTTGAATCTGAACACAAAACCCCAGTGAGTCAGGGCTTGGGGGGTAGGGAGGAGGCAAACCGCTGTGGCCACACCACTTGAATGCCTGAGCCTCCCAGAGACAGACAGGCAGTCACTGTATAGACAAGGGGACTCAAGTGGAGGTAATATGTGTCATATTCATCCAGGGCTGGCAGGAGTGGGCATGAGAGCGCCCTCTGGTGGCTACCTGTGCTGTCTGGCTGTTCCTATTTACCTTCAGAGCTGTGTCCTCTTGGCTAGAGGGTGACCTGACCCTACTGCTTTGGGAGCTAGTCACATTCAGCTTTTGTTCCTTGAGACTGCCGTTTGAGAAGACTTCTGGTTAGAGCATCTGGCACCAGCTATTCTTATCCCTGCGATTGGTGCCCCAGACAGCCCTGCCTCTGCTCCAGCATCCCCTTTTGGGCTCTTCTACCCTGTGCTACCTTCTCAATGGCAGGAATGACTATTGTAACTACCCTGATAAAGCTATGGTTCCTTCCAGGGCCTCTGTACCTGCTTAAGGGTTGGTGGGGCCTCAGTCTGGGGATTGGAGCAGAAATAGACCCTGCTGGGCCAGATGGAAGCTGCTGTCTGTTCCTAGATTGGGCAGTTACCCCAAGAGGGCCAAGACAGGGTCAAGGCAGTGGGGGTGAGGAGGGGACTCCATTGAAGCCACATCTCCTTAGCTGAATGCTCACCAGTGAGTCAGTACAGTGCCGGCCCTCAGAACCACCTGCTTGCCAGCTCTCTCGATAGTTACGCCTTGTGCAGCTCCCAGTCTCGGCCTGGGTACAGTAGGCTGGGACACAGGCTTATCAGGGTCCACAAGGAATAAGCATCAAGAGACAAGCAGAGCAGAGTGTTGAGGCTAGAGTGGGGCCCTCTCCTACTATTCCCTCCCCTTCTGACCCAGAGAAGGGTGGGAAGTAATATTGTATCCTAATGCCCTTCAGAGCATCCCTTCTCAGTCCTCACACAGCTTGAGGCCAGCGTCCTACTGCACCATTTTATTGAGAACCTGTAAGTTTTAAAGCCTTGGTGGCAGAGCCAGCATCTGTATCAGAGCCTGAACTCTTCCAAGGGCACCTACTGCTGGAGGATAGGGTCCCAGGGGCCAGGGGAGTAATAGACAGAATAGGGCTTATATCCTTGCTCTTGGGGTACATATATAGATATGACCTTGGAGAAGCTTCTTCCCTCACTGTCCCCAATTATACAATGGGCAAAATCAAATATGTCTTGTGAGGCCCCCATGAGGTGGCACGTGTGAGATGCCAGGTGTGGTGCTGGACAGCGACACTCAGCCAGTATTTGGAGCTGGGGTGAGCAAATGCTAGCTTGCCTGGGTCCTCATCTCTTATCCCTCATCTCTTTGTATTGCCTGCTCCAGGTGCCGCCATGCTGCCATTGCCAAGTACTTTGGGGATGCTCCGCCTGCCTGCACCAAAGGCTGCGACTACTGTCAAAACCCTGCTGCTGTGCGGAAACAGCTGGACGCCTTGGAGCACAGCAGCAGCTGGAGCAAGACCTGCATCAGGCCCTCCCAGGGGAATGGCTTTGACCCTGAGCTGTATGAAGGAGGTCGCAGGGGCTACGGGGGCTTCAGCAGGTCAGGAGCCATGAAGCCAGGGGCCCCCCAACCCATTGGAAATAGTCTCTCATTCTCCTGGTGCTAAGGCCAGACATGGTAGTGCTGTGGTTTACCCTCCTGCCCTATGGACTAGGTTGGGGCCTGGACCTCAGTGTTGCCCCAAGCTTCCAGGGCATGAAGGACATCATGTTCCACCAGCAGCCTGAGTGGTCAGGACAGAACCTCAGTCCTGAGTTGCTCACAACCAGCCTTTTTCCTAGGTATGATGAAGGTTCGGGAGGCAGTGGTGATGAGGGCAGAGATGAGGCCCACAAGCGGGAATGGAATCTCTTCTATCAGAAGCAGATGAGCCTGCGCAAGGTGAAGGAGGTGGGGCCTCAGCAGGGAGTCAGTGACCCATGCAGCATCCCAGGTGGTCCTGTCTTCACCCTCTAACACCCTTCCCTGGTCCTGGGTGGGAACTGTCCTACAACAGGGCAGGATGCCTCATAGGCCCTTTATGCCATCTTCCAGGGCAAAGATCCCAAGATAGAAGAATTCATACCCCCAGGTTGGTACAGAAATGTTTCCAGGGGCTTATGGGCTGTGCCCTGGGTTGGGATGGTGGTTGTCTTATTGGGGTCTTTGGGGACTCCAGAGAGCAGGAAGTTGAATGGAAGAAACCATCCTTCCTCTCCCCAGATGAAGATTGTCCCCTGAAAGAGGCTTCTAGCAGAAAGATTCCTAGGCTCACTGTGAAGGTAAGAAAGGGGCAAGTCCTCACCTGCCCCCTAGGACTCTCCCCTGAGGCCAGGTGACAACTCCCCTCTCCCTACAGGCCCGTGAGCACTGCCTGGGTCTCCTGGAGGAGGCTCTGAGCAGCAACTGCCAAGCCACAGGTTCCAACAATGGGTGAGTGTCCTGAGATCTATGGGGCCAGAGCAAGAGCCAGCCTTGGGGACAGAGGAGATCTCTGAGCACTACTTCCTCAGGAGATTGTGGGCAAACCTCACCCCCAGGCTCATTTGGGCAGCCCCTCGTTACACCTGTCCTACTTCAGAGTCACCCAGTCCCTACAGCCCCCCCCAGGGGGCAGGTGTGACCACACTTAGGGGCTGCCAGTGTCTGCTGAAGACCTGTAAGCCATAGGGTACCCAGAAAGTCCTGGTTGGAATCCCTGTGCCTGTCCCCACCAGGTCCTGAAGGTACCCTGCAGTCTCTGTGTAGGGTCCAGCAGGAGATCCCAGGGAGAGGTCTTGGGCCCACCAGACACCTTGTGTTCATTCCTACCCTCAGAACAGAACTCCAGGCCCAGGCCGTGCAGCTAGAATATGAGACATTCCGGAATGCCAAGATGGCCAACCTCTACAAGGCCAGCGTGCTGAGGAAGGTGGGCCCAGGGCAAGGGGCAGGTGGGCAGGGCACATTCACTGGATCAGGGTAGGAAAGGGCAGGCTATCTGCTAGCCCACTGGCCCCAAGAGCCATTTATAAGAGGAGAGTCTGGCTTTCTGGGCCAGCTGGAGATGTTTCTAGCCAACTCTGTAAGGACTGCAACTTGTCCAGTGTCCAATTTCTTCTTGTACCTCATGGGAAAGGAAGACCTGGGCTGGGAATATAGAAGGAGCCTGTAGGTACCATGACCTCCCTGTCTGTCCCTGCCCAGGTAGCTGAGATCCACAGAGCCTCCAAGGATGGACAGCTCTATGACGTGGGAGGTGGTGCCAAAAGCTGCAGTGGCCAGGCTGAGCCCCCAGAGCCCAATGAGTATGACATCCCACCAGCCTCCCATGTGTACTCGGTGAGTGACACTCTGGTGTGTGTCCGCCCCAAACTTAGGCCCAGGAAAGGCCCCACTTCTTTGCCCTCAGTAGAGCACATCCTCTTGCACTCTCCTGGTGATGCAGCCCTGGCCCTGGGTCCCCTGGAACATCTCTGCTATGCTAGCTGTGCTTTTGCCAACTGCAGCCTCTTCTCCCATCAGCCTGACTTCCAAATGATGTCCTGTGCAACTCCCACAGTCTTGAGAGCCCCACCCCAACAGCCATAGCTTAGAGCAATCAACAGTACCCTCCAGGGGACCTAGAGGTCTGAGCCTTTCCTCTTCTTCCTTACAGCTCAAAGCCAAGAGGGTGGGAGCTGGCTTCCCTAAAGGCTCCTGCCCATTCCAGACAGCCACTGAGCTGATGGAGAAGTCTCGGACTCAGGAGTCTTCCCAGCCTGTGCAGGGAGATGAGAAAGAACCCCCCAGCCAGCCCTCTGGCATCCAGGATAAGGATGTGAGTGAGGGCCTCCCTGGGCCCAAAGGAGAAGACCCTGGAGGTAGTGCTCACTGTGCAGGGCCCTCTGCTGAGAAGGTGAAAGCCTCTTCCAGGAGCAGTTCAGTCACCAAAGCCCGGGCCAGCAAGAAGCAGCAGCTCCTGGCCACAGCAGCCCAAAAGGATTCCCAGAATATTGCCCGCTTCTTCTGTCAAAGGGCAGAAAACCCACCTCCGCTCACCACAGCCCCAAGGGCAGATGGTGCCAGCCCCTCCTGTGGGAGAAAGCAGGAACCTCTGATGACTTCAGAGAAGTGCACAGAGGAAGAAAGTGGACTCCGGGGATATTTGATGGACCCTCCTCAGACTGAGGCATGTCCCAGTGAGGGGCCAAGGTAAGGGCATAGGGAAGGGCAGGAGTGAGGGCACAGTAGTCATGGGGTCCTATGGACTTTGCCTGGCAGCATCCCCTCTACTAACTGGGCCTCTGAAGTTCTGATGAATCTGTTGGGCTGAGGAGCACCTGGCCCTGGAACTCTGATGTTGCTCTTCCCTCCGGCTAGCACCTGCCCTCTCAAAGACCAGGGGTTCCCTGAAGCCCAGCTCATCTCCCCAAAGAAGACACAGACCGGCAAGCGGCCCAGATCCCAGCAGGTATCATCAAGGAAGAAGCACGGGGGAATGGAGGAGGCCTGTGGACAAGACCAGGAGTTCTGGTCAGGGGTTCAGGAAAATCATTACTTCTTTCTATATCCCAGGAGCAGATGGGACAGGCTAGAGGGAGCCACCTGGTGCTAAGGCACAGTCTTCCAAAAGGAGGGGTAGGAACCAGCGAAAGGGAACCCAAGAGTGACCTCTCACTGTTGTCCTATCCAGGAGAACCCAGGGAGTCGGGCTCAAAAGAGACCTCGCCCCCAAGCCAAGCCCTCCATCTTAGCAGAGGTCAGGGGCAGTGCCTTGAGCAGTGAACAGGGTACCTTGAATGCCCTGGCCCAAGACCCCTGCCAACTGTCAGCTCCTGGAATCTCCTTGAAGGAAGCTGCAGATGTTGTGGTCAGATACCTTACCCCCTTCTACAAGGATGGCAAGTTTGCATCTAAGGTAGGGTGAGAAGGGGAGCCTTGCCCTCTC